CTCTTGGCACTGGAGTGAGATGGTGTTTCATGAATGAAGATTAGCCATGTTTCTCTTTTACTGAAATACACTCTGTTTGACCGGAATGTGGGCCGTTGAATCTCCAGCAGTGACCACATTCTGGCGTGGCGTTGCGGCTGGCGTACCGTTCTGCCAGCCACCCCTCTTAGGTGCATGAAACGCCATTTTGGGTTGCAAATTCGACTATTACACGCAATTTTATGAAGCTTTGTCTCGAATAGGCGCGTGTGTAGCTTGCGTACAGTGTTGGGCTGGGGATGGTCGAGAATAAAGGATGTCTCAGATTTGTTAGCTCTAACCATCGACCAACCGGAAGCAAATTTGGATGGCCTCGCTCATAATGGCTTACCAGCTATTCCCCTTTCTTTCTCCTCCCGAGACAGTCCTCCTTCGGTCCAGCCCTCCCGAGTGGCTCCTGCACCTTCTCAACATAATCTAGCGTCCGGTACACACTAATATCTGTGCTTCATCTCTTTCAGTCCCTTCAAACCCAGAAAACATGTCCACCTCTGCTCTCCTGGTAGAATCAACTGACAAAGAGCTTGTGTATGATGGCCGCGAATTCAGGTCCTACATCCAGTAGGTCTAAGACTGCTGTGGTTCATCTAGAGCTAGCTAATGCATAATACTCTCTTCTAACTGGTATAAAGGCGCGGGAATACTCTATTCACTGAAAAAATTGTCCAGGGGCATAGTCTCACCAACAACTTCTTCACATTCTCTTTCTGGCTAAAGTTAAACACCACTTCGAGCCCTTTGGACGAGGTTTTAGTGATTCATGAACATTCTATATCATCATCTATTCGTGTAAGGATGGACCCTAGCTATGAAAGCCTTGAAGATGGCAGACTTAGGATCGAGTTATGGGTAAAGGGAAAACCGAAGTCAACTGATCTACTCCCATTTACGAAAATTCGGAAAACATGGACTCACGTGGTTATCGTACGAAGTGAAGACCACTGGACGGTCTATTTAAATGGGATAGAAAACCGTATAGAGAACCGGTTGACTATCTCCGACTATCTACCCACTACGAGCGAGGTGAGTCTCCAAATCCATGCCTTCATCTATACAAAGATGGCTAATTCCCTTAAATCTAGCCACCTCTGGCCCTCACCCTTCAAATAGCCTTCAATCGTACGGACGATTACAAGGAGGCAAAGCATAGCCTTCCAGGGAACATTCA